TTTTTTTTTTTTTTTTTTTTTTTTTTAAATTCTACGTTATATGTATAATAGATTCTCTCACACTCATTCGCCGAATATTACAGATATACGAATAAACATTTATGTAGTTATGTAGACAAATGGAAAGAATTAGTTGAAAGGGTTACCACGATAAGGAAGTGGTCTCAGTTTTGAATAATTTAACTAGTAATCAAGCATCAAACTGCACGATATGTGGATGCGTTATGTATATTTTATAGTTCATCGAATCATTTGTAATTTATTTCAGTTTAAATATTTACTAGTTTTTATTAGTACTATTATCAAGGTTCAAGATATACATACGTAATGTATATCAACCATTTGCCATTTATTTCTTCGACAATTCAGCTATACTGACAAATCACCCGATTGTGAACAATTATTAAACGTATTATGCATGAAGAATATTTTCTGAAAATGTTCAAATATGAGTATAATTTTTTAATAGATATCTCATCGTGAAATATGAAATCCAAATGTACGTGAATTTCACTTAGTAAATTACGTCTGTAATTAACCAGTTAGAAAATATTTTTCGCGTGCAAAGAGGTGATACAAATCAAATATATCATTTGATTATCACGATGAAGTTAACTGGGTTAACGCGATTTAAATATGAGAGCTACTTCCTTGTCGGTGGAAACTCTTCGATTCGGATAGAGAGAAATAAGCGGCAAAGAAATTTTGACAGCTGAAGGGACATCGAGTCGAGTAAGGGTTCTCTAACTATCATCGATCTTGGCTTGAGGATCGTCGGACGAACAATGCTCAGCTGACGAATCTCGATGGCGATTGTGAGGGCACAGAGAAGCACAACAACAAACGTCAAACAGCCAGAGTAGTGTAATATCTTCGTCGATATATAACGAAAATATATATCGAAACATTGGGAGCGTAACGGAGCAACTTACCTGAGCAGCGAGCTGTCGTAGCCTCTCGGACTCTTCGATCGTCGCATCCCGTCGCGCCGCGACCTTGACCTGTGCAACGTCACCGTAAAAGGACTCGGACCTCGGCGAGAAAGCCATGGTCAACTGGTGCAGCTCTTGCAGGGAATTTGAACAAGCGCGGTAACAGGCGACGCCGCAGACCTCCCATTGTTCTGGGGTGAGTAGCGGCCCGCTGCTTACCAGAACGTGCCTGCGCAGACATTGGACATCGTCGCATTGAATTACAGAAGAGTCCTGAAAATTGAACTTCCTATACGTCCTATAAGTTCCCAGAAACTTTGGAAAGTCGGACGGTTTAAGACGATTCGAAAAAAAAAATATTCACTCGTACGCAAAGAATCTCTGAACATCTCTACTGATAAAGAACAGAAATGGATTGGTACTGTCAAAAGAGTGGATGATTCTCTGGCAGTCGCGATGTATCAGCGTGCATAATCAGCGAAGAGAATGAAATCAGACAGAGATTCTGCAATTCATAGTCGCGACACGTAGGGGATAGTCGACGTAAAGAAAAGGGGACGAGGCGATAGTGAATGGCCACTTCTTGGGTTTTGTTAGCGACAATTTTGTGCTCCATCGCACAATGGACCAGATCGAAGATCTGTAGCCGTCCTATCAGAAAAAAATTAACTTGTATTCTGTTCTAAATATCGATCGACTTCAAAAGTAAGAAAGTTGACGAAGTTATAGCGGAAATTTTAAAAGGAGACTAATCGACTAATTTTGCCGTCCGTTCCAGCCTCACAGATTTCAGATCAGGATCCCGTTCGTCATTCAGTGCCAGGCTAGTTATCTTGCCCGCGAACCTGTCCCGTTTTTAAACTCCGCGCACGCCTGTACATCGATACTTCGCGATCGACCCCGGCGAGGATTGAATTACACGTGTCGATGTGTGCCGTGCGTTAATATGGAGAAAACGAACGAGGAACGGAGCCAGACTGGGCCAAAGTTGAAGCAAGA